GACAGCACACTGCATGCTCTGGTCTGTCTCCCCACGCAGGCCAGGTTGGCTTGCGCTGGCTGCTTCCCGTCCACAGGTCCTGGGAACCTCCCCACACCTGGAAGGACAGTAGCTCCCTCCAACAGAGCACTTCCAAAGGGTCCCCTGGACACACATGTGACCAGACACAAAGGGTTCTATGGAGCATGTGCTGTGTGCAGAGAACTGGGCTGAGTGAGTCAGAAGTGCCTGGCTCACCTCATGGCCACCTCTTCTCTTGACCTTGTCATCGTGGTCATTAAAAGCTCTGTGCCAAGGAAGGGGACCATAGCAAACGGAGAACCTAAAATAAAACCTAACTTGTCCCAAGTCATACTTACGTCATTTTGTTGGTGCTTCCTGCAAAACAGTGAATCTAATAATCAAGGGTTAAAATGACATAAGACCACATTAGCATACAGACAGAGCACCTGGGAACCCTGGAGACCCCACCCATCCCCACCTGCACCTGCAGCTGTTACCCTGAAACCCTGGCAAACCCCGCGGCATAGGAAAGCCAAGCAGCCTGGCTGAGTTTTAAAAGCCACCCCCTCAATCACCACAGAGAACCTATTGGCCAGCAGGTCAATGTCCTGCTGCGTGGTTTCTATCTCCACCCAAGTCATGTCTGGGACAGGTTCTGAGGCAGCGGCCCGTTTACCATTTCTAGTAACCTCACTGCTCCCCAGATATGGGCCTCTCTAAAGGAATAGTATTTGACGTGCTTTCTCCTAGAGTCCCCAGGACTCGTCTGTTTCTCACCAAGCGTTCCTTCCTGCAGGTATGTCCACATGACTAAGGACCAGTACCCAGGCAAAGTGACTCCCCGGCACGAACAGTTGAGTCAAGCCCAAACTGGGGGATAGCATTTCTCTACCCAGGCTATGGCTCAACACTGGGGTGGGGTGGGGCATTTCTAAAATACCAACAAAGACCTGGGAGGGAAAAAAGGTAAGAAAGCTAACCTCTCCCAGGGCCAGAAGGGCCACAAACAGAGCAAAAGATGTTGATGAGAAATGCAAAAGGGTCTGAGAAGTGGAGGAGGGCAAACCAAAAGGCAGTAAAGGGCCAGGAAGGTGATTCACTGTGTCACTTAAAAGCCCCCAGGGACTAATTAAGAGATTAAAGGGAAAAAAACAAAATGCTCAAATTTTTCTAAAGCGTGGACTACAAATTTGTGAACTCCTAAGCCAGGAGGGGGGGAGTGGGTCTGGTCTGGTCTGCAGCTCCCAGTTACAAGGCAGACCCCCCAGCAGCACCACCTCTGCTTGGGTGGGTTTGCTCTTACCATTGCACCAGGAAGGCCAGCCGAGCCACACCCTGACGCTGCGGAGAAGGCAGACCGCCATCCAGGCCTGCTCTCAGTGGCTAACGTGGCTCTGCTGCCCTGGCCCGACCCTGCAGCCTCTCCCGTGAGAGATTCCCAGAGCCTCCAGAGATGCAGGAAGTTTCTTCCTTCAAGTGGGCTTTGAATAGAACCCATTTTCCTACCACCTTCACTCTGGATATC